GAAAACTGACTCGTGAAGAAATGCGAATCAACATACATGAACACGGCCTCGTCTCTGCACCTCCTGTGCCCCATACACACCCCACGCAGGCGTGTGATTATTGGCTCCTTTGTGGGCGGTTCCTTGAGAGTTGGAACTGGGCTGCATCCATGGGGCCCAGTTCAGGGCCTGGCCCCCAGGCTTGGCGCTCAGGACGCAGCTGTGGGGGTGAAACCTGCAGGGGGCCTGCAGGGGGCTGTTGAAGGGCAGGGCGGGTGGGATCCTCTGGGCGGCCCTGCGCTTGCTGAAGGGTGCAGGACCAGCCCGTCTAGAAGGAGTCTTAGGGGTCATCTTCCAAATTCTGGCCACCAGGTGAAGTGAGCAGCCCCAGTCTCACAGACATCAAGTGACAGGGTAGACCTTGGCCTTGACTCCGGTCTCTGCTTTGTTCTCGATTCTGGTTTTTAAATTACCTTTAAAAAAATATGTAGTGAAGGGAAAGAATAGAGAGCCTGGAAATAAACCCATGCCTACACGGTCAGTTAGTTTGTGGCAAAGGAGCCCAGAACACACAGTGGGGAAGGGTGGTCTCTTCAGTAAATGGTGTCGGGAGAACTGGACATCCACATGAGAAAGAATGAAACCGAACCCCAGTCTTCCGCCATTCACAAAATCACCTCAGATTTTTTTAGTTATCCGATAACCATAAAGAACGTATTAAAATATATGTAAGATTTAGCATCATGATATTATGAATAACTTTGAACCCACCATTTTATGCAAGACTGACGGAAATACCAACTTTTATTTTCCCAGTGCCTTTTCCCCCTTAAAATACTCTTCTCACTCTTCTGGATTTTGTATTTATTGTTCCCTTGTCTTGGCTAATAAAAAGAAAAAAAAGCCTTGCTATATTAATTTAAAGCACACGCATGTGTGTTTATGTGTAGATTATAGTTTAGCATTTCTTGTTTTTGAGCTTTGTGAAAGTGGCAGTGTCCTAGGTGGTCCCCGGGGCCCTCTTCCTCACTGCCACCGTCATTCTGTTCCTGGGGTCACTCCTGTTGTGCAAGGGGCTTAGATCATTGGTGTTTTCCTCAAGGACTTGGGCCGTTTCTTGTTTGGGCCCCTCAGGGTTTGGGATGACTCCTATGCAGAGGGTTCCAGTTAAGGCTAATTTTAACTTTTTACAAGTTGTCATTAAACTTTCCCGTGTGGCTTGGCTTATGGAAAGCTTTTAGTCATTTACAAACTTAATTAAAATTAGATATCCTTAGCCTTAGAGATTCACTAAATACTTAGTAAAGTATTTCCAATTAAGATTACTTGGGATTAATGCAAAATAAGAGTTATAAACCATTTTGCAACATTTGAGCCCCTCTGAATCCCAGTATGTTTTGGATTAAAGCTCCAGTGTAGCTAGGCTTAATTTATGCCTAAAATTTTATTGTAGTTCTTAGGAAGATTGTTAATATCCAAATTGAAAGTGTCTCCAGAGACCAGAAGTCCTGGGGGTTATGCATGGTCTGTGAATTAGAAGCGTGTGTGTGATTTTCTGGGGCCTTAGCTTTGATTAGAGTCCGGAGTCTGCGAGTCTGCAGTCCCCAAAACTAATGGCTTTAAACCAGGGCTTCTCAGACTTGACTGTACTGACCTTCTGGCCAGGTTGTTGGGGACTGTCCTGTACGTAAGGTGTTTAGAAGTATCCCTGGTCCCTATACATTAGATGCCAGTAGCTTCCCCTGTCCCCGTGATGACAACCAAAATGGTCTCCGAATATATCGTGGGGGCTTGTGGGAGGGCAGAATAGTCCCGTGGAGAAACACTACTAGTTCACACTTTTTCTTTTAACAGACTTAATTTTTTAGAGCCGTTTTAGGTTTGCAGCAGAGGTGAGCGGAGGTACGGAGCCTGTCCCTCTCACCTGCCCTCTCACCTGCACGGCCTCACCCACTGCCAGCATCCCTCACCGGAGTTACGGCTGACCGACCCACACTGGCGCAGCGCAGCAACTTGACATTCAGTTTGCATTAAAGTTCACTCTTGGTGTTGGACCTTCTGTGGACTTGGACAAATTGATGATGACACATAGCCACCATTTATAGTATCACGCAGAGTAGTTTCCCTGCTCTAAGGACCCTCCGGGCTCTTTTTTCCCTCCTTCGCCTCCAGCCCTGGGCAGCCACTGATGTTTTGACTGTCTTTATAGTTTTGTCTTCCAGAATGTCACATAGTTGGAATCCCACAGTGTGTAGCCTTTTTAGATCAACATGTTAATATTTCACTTAGTAATTTACATTTAACATTCCTCCATGTTTTTTCATGGCTTGATAGCTCATTTCTTTTTTGTTTTTAATTTTTCAATTACAGTTTATATTTAATATGATTTTGTATTAGTTTCAGGAATACAGCATAGTGGTTAGACAATTATACACTTACAAAGTGCTCCTCCTCCCCTATTTCTAGTACCCACCTAGCACTATACATACATTATTGACTGTACGCTAGCTCATTTCATCCGGAATCATACCGTCTGGATGTACTACAGTTTGTTTATCCACTCACCTACCAAAGGCCATCTTGATTGCTTCTAGGGTTTGGCGATTGTGAGTAAAGCTGCTGTAAACATTCATGTACAGGTTTTTGAGTGGACATAAGTTTTCAATTCCTTTGGGCAAAAACCAAGGGGTGCTATTGAACTGTATAGTAAGAATATGTTCAGTTTTTTTAAGAAACCACCAAATTAGTTCCAAAAGTGCTTATACCATTTTGCATCCCCCCAGCAGTGAATCAGAATTTCCATTGCTCCACACCCTTGTCAGCACTTGGTGTCGTCAGTTCTGGACTTTGGCCATCCCAATGAGTGTGATGGTGTCTCGTTGTTTTAATTCACATCTCTGCAGCGACGTGGGATGTGGAGCGTTATTTCAGATGCTTATTTGCCACCTTTGTATCTTCTTTGGTGAGGTGTCTGTTAAGTTCTTTGGTCCATTAGTTTACCTAAGTATTAGTATTACCTAAGTATTAGTTTATCTAAGTATTAGTTTACACCTTTAACCAGCTGACTTGATCATTTAAGGTTTTCTATTCTTGCATGGCCAAGGGGGCATATAACTATTTAATGTAGTTTAAACACCTCGCTCCAATTCAGAGCAATCAGAAAGACTTTCAGGTTGGGTTGAATGGGGCAAGTGTTATAAAATGTGTTTTAAAATATTTAAAACATGTATTTGCATACATACAGAAAATATTCCTAATCACACACATGCTATGTGAATTAAACAGGTAATAACTAAACCATTGCAGGAATCCTATAAAGTGGATACGCTCCATTTTATGGATAAATAGAGGCTTGTAGAGGCCAACAGCTCCGTCCAAGGCCATAAATTAATGAATGGCAGAACCGGAATGGAACACAAGTCTCTCTAGTGTCAAATCAGCTAATCTGGGTTCTCAGCCTCAGAAGTGTTAAAATGTCTCCCCGTGCCAGCAGGCCATGTCACCACGGCTTTGGCTGGCGTGGAAGGCATGGCCCGAGCAGGGAATTCATGGTCGCTAGAATGTCGCACTCAGCAGAACAAGTGCTACAGAGTTTCTGGGGGGAGGGTGTGTGTGTGTGTAGAGGGCAGCCAGTTTGCTGTGTGTCCCAGAATAGTCACAGATAACCGTCTTGAGCAGCGGAGGTTTTTTCTCTATTTATAAAACCAGCCTGTCGCATGTGGCCATATTAGCACCTGAAAACGAGATTGCTTCCCGTTTACTTCATGTGTTGTGTTTTTGAAATGAATGTGAGGTGGATCCTTGTCCCCTACTCTCCGTAAAAGTTAATACGTTAGGAGTGTGGATGGATGGTCATAATGAAAGATTGTATTTCGTTACAGCCAAATGTGGCATTTCCAGGATTACTTTGTATATTTTATGAAGATTCTTTAGCTTCTTGATATAGGGCTTTTAGAAATCCTGAGGTCAGAACCGGGATGCAGATCAGGTGGTGCCACTGATTGGCGGTGCTGGGGACTCCGGCTGCCTTCCGTGCACTTCTGAGCATCTCTACCATTTTACTCGGCCCGCCTTCCGTACTTTGTATCTCGTCAGACCTTCTGAGGCCTGGCCTTCTGTGTTATAAACGACTCTGCCCCGAATTTACTCTGCACTTTACCAGTCTGTGCCCACTCAGTTCATTCCTCCTCCCTCCCTTATTTATTACATACTTTCAACGACTGGCACTGGGCGGCTCTCAGTAAATTTCTGCATCATGAAATTAAATGAGGAGAGTATTATGAAGCACATGAGGCTGGAAGAAGGTGCTCGGTGAACAAGAGTAATCTTGACCTTCCCAGGCCCGTGTAGCCGTGTGACGCCATTGTGTCGCCTTGTAGTCCACTTGGCCAGCTAGAGTGAGCTCTTGGCTGTCAAGGGGTTCAGTTCAGGTCCTGGTCTATTTTGCAAGGATCTGGCACCATGGAAAATGTACCAAGCTTTAAGCAGAATGACTGAAGCACTTAACCTTTCCATAGATTTTGCCACTTGTTTTTTGCCTGGATTTTGGCTTTCTCTCTGGCTTTGAGCTTATCAAGGAACTCAGTCCAGTGATGCTATTTGATGTTACCTGTTTAAATCCAGGTTATAGGACAGTATAAAGAGCTTAATCAACTCTTCATGCGTGCTCCCCATAGAACCAGTTGGGAATTAATACATAATGTATCTCCCATGGTCTGCTGCATAAGAGAGGGAAAGCTGGTAAGGCTTTGAGATGTGGATAGAACAGGGTCACTTTCTGAACTCTCTAACCTATTTCCCACTCTTTGATTATCTTTTGGACGCCTCCACTTGAGACAGACACTGCTATCAAAGAGGGACTGACAGTCTCCTTCCGGCAGACAGGGCGCAGAGCCCGCTGCAGGCCTGCTTGGCCTTAGCATACCCAGGGCAAATTGCAGCTGCAAAAACGCTAGTTGAAGAGGGTTCTTGGTGTTGCTATTGGCAAAATGACTGAGACGCTTTTCTTTCTCCTTTCACAGAGTGATCAGCAGCTGGACTGTGCCTTGGACTTAATGAGGCGCCTGCCTCCACAGCAGATCGAGAAAAACCTCAGTGACCTGATCGACCTGGTACGTTCCATTTTCATGTGGCTCCTTTTTGGGCAGTGGCTCATAATTGTTTGCTTTCGGTACTTTTTCCATTCAGCATACAAAACACAAGAAACCTCTCTCCAGCCAGACACCACCACTGGGTCACATGATTCCTCCGGGCAGAGAAGTTGTTTCGTATTGTTGTCTTGTCGTCAGCACCACCAGTGTTGATAAAGCCCAAGATGGGAATTCTGCAGTTGGTTACGTTCTGCCTCCTTCTCCTGCTGCCTTGTTCTCAGTTTCTAGACACTGTCCTTTAGGCACGGAGAAGAGGTCACGCATCCGGCCGACATTCAGCTGCCGGGCTGTGTTCCTCTCTGTGCCGCTGGGGAGGTTTCTGTAGCCAAAGCAGTAGGAGACTCCACCCTGTAAAATGCTTCAGTGGCTTCACTTGTAGTTGGAAACGGCAAAGCCCAAAAGTCGGCCTTTGAAGATCTCTTCACATCAATTTTTTAAATATTTAATTTTAAGATCAAAATTATTGGTCTCAGAACGATGCCTCAGATTAATTGGGACCGTAATATTATTTGAAAATGTTCGAAGTATTAAAAAATGTCTATAAAGCTCTGGGAAATATTGAAAGGAGGTAAAGTAAAATCAAATCAGGCCCTGTGAGGTCACTTGAGTTACCACCTCATTTGGCCAGTGAGCTCCAGCTCCGTCTCCGGGGCCGCTGTTCTCTTCCTCCATCCCGTGTCGTCTTGGGTGTGATTGCCACTTGCCAGCCCCGGCTGATCAGTGAGGTGTCTGGGAAAACAGTGGTCTGAAACTTGTTCATGTGCTGCAGTGACACATTTAATTCGATTGTACAGAACCCAGTCAGTTTCACTAGGAAAAACCGGGACCGCAGGAGACCCCCGTCGTTCGCAGACGCAGCACCTCACAGCGGCCGGCAGAGTCCTGCGTGCAGCCGTTTTGCGTCGACAGGCCCCTGGGCCCCCAGTTGCGAGGCAGCTGTACGAGACAGCATGGAGCCTGCCGGAGAAGTTGTGCACTTGCTGTCTTTCGCGTGAATAATTCAGGGAGTGGGAAGAATGAGGGTTCTTGAGATAAATGGTCCAGACAGGAAAGGCAGCTACAGGTGCTTGTGATGGAAGAGAAGAGGATGGAGAATGACGGCCCCTGGCCAGACAGATTCTTTGGATGAGCATTAAAGAAAGAAGGTGGCATTGTGATGCAGGTGACCTACCACATGCTCAGAATCCTGGCTCACAGACCAAGAGTCAACAAGTAGACAGCAGTCACTGAAGTGGCCTGGGCCTAGACAGGGGGCCTGCTGGCAGGCTCCTCCTGCGCGGGCAGCGGCCCCTCTGCTCCAGTCACTGCCTGTCTGTGGGGATGTGATGCCTGTGGCTTGTTTTCGGGTGTTTCTGGAGGAGCCGTACGTTTGGAGTTGCAGGGGAACTATCCTGATGTTTGAACATTGGGTTGGTCAGCTCCGATTTTTGTGCCGAATTTGGGCACGTGCCTGGGAAATGTGAGCTGTGGGGATGGGGGTCAGAGAAGACAGTCTTAGTTGGGAAATGATGAAATATTTTGGGCAGGCAGGAGCCATCCTTGAAAGTCAGGAGGGCTCGGATTTGATGTGTTGCTGGTTGTCACCGTCAAGCCCCTACTGAGCTGTGTGCACGACACTCGTGCCGAGCAGTTTCCCCGCATCTGTGTTTCACGCTCGACAGCTCTGCTAGGCAGCGTTACGAGCTGCACTCTGGAAGCGCTGTTAGTCTCCGCATTTTCTCGGTCAGAGAGTTTGGAGGGAGACTGTGCGGACGAGGTGGGCAGAGGTGGGCAAAGGTGGAAGGAATGGGCAGGTCCCAAATTTGGTCAGCTGCAGAGGCTTCTTTCTCTTTTACACTTCAGCGTGAAAGTGTGCTCGGCTGAGTTGAAGTTTAGTTTGCCAATTTAGTTACGGCTGTGTTTTAGCAATGAACCAAACATAGAGCGAATGATGAGCACAGTTTTCTCAGACCCGTCTTTGTGTTTGTTTAACAAGCTAGTTTGTTCTTATGGCAACGAAAGTGTTTTGCCACAGCTGTGATTTTCTCTGTGATTCCCTCATCATTCTCTATTTCAGAGATGTGCAGGTTTCAGGGAAGCCTGGTTGGCTGGTTCCATTGCAGCACTGATGGGAAATGAAGGAGCCCTCCTCCACGTTAGCCCAGACATGGGGTGGGAGAGACCAGCCCCAAGGCAGAGATGGCAGGGCGGTGCTCAGACCCAGGCTGAAGTGCCACACTGTGCCGTCCCTGATACGTGGCGGAGCACGTGGCGCCCACAGATTGCTGTCAGAGCACACCGCCTTTCCACAGTTAACTCCGTCTCTTGTGCAGGGTGGCTGGAGAGGGGACGGAAGCACGTGAGGGTTGTGGGACTGAGCTGGATGCTTTCATTCGTGTTACCATTTCCTCGGTGTTCCATGATGTATAAACGACCACTTCACCTTCTCTAGGGGGTTGAGACTTGGGGGAGGAAGCCGGGGTGCAGGTGTGGCTGGGCAGCCGCAGGAGTCCCAGGGCCGCCTCCTTGGGAACTCTGCTGGGTGACCGTGGGTCCCGTCACTACACTCATTAGCAGGTGAAATGCGGTGCATCTTCCTTACGTGTCAGTGTTACCCGTTTGGGGGGGGAAATTCCGGTAACTTAATTCATTAGTAATTTAAAATATTAAAGCACAAATGTATTATGGAGGATAATAAAATTGACATAGTTAAAGTGAAAACACCTGGAGACTTGAAAGATATTTCCTTGTTAGAGCCAGGCCACTTAGCATCACCCGTTCACCCCCGTCCGCTGCTCCCCCACCGTCGTCTGGTGGCCAGCCTGGGGCCCATCCACCTCCCGAGGCTGAAAAAGAGGCCGTAAATGATTCCCATCACCCAGAATAGACTAGGGAATCGGTGTTCTCATTAATTTTTTTTAAATTTGAAGCATGATGAATGTCAGAGTGGAAATGAAGCATGACTTTTCACTGACTTAGAACCGGGTAACGCATGCCTCATTAAGACGATATTGACGTGCTTCAGAAGCCGCTTTTTGATTAATGGTCTTGCTTCAAGGTCCTTGCTTTGCACTGTGGTGCACAAAGGGGCATTGGGGCTGATTTTGTATCGGATCCTATGACGAGTCTTAGAAATCACTTACTTGAATGTTTTCCTTTAATCGCTGCTGTTTTTCTTCAACTTTCCCTGGGAATGACAGATTTTTTTCTTTCTTTTTAACTGGATTTGCAAAGTTTTCTTACTCTTGCCAGAGTCAGTCTGTGCGGAGTGTACTGCTGTGGCTCCAAAGTTCACTGGCAGCTTTCGTTTCTTCAGCTGTAGTTTCGGAAAACTTGTACTGCCATAGGTCCACCTAGAAGCAGTGCACACGGGCCTTTGTTTCATGTGACCTGGGGTCAGTCCAAGGCTTCCAGCGCTGCTAGTGCAGTGCACGGTGCGCATTGCAGCCCCTCTCGCTGTGCTCACCTGCCTAAAATAATGAAGGGGAGGAGGCTGTTTTCAAGAAAAGTCGCCAATTTTAAGACTGACAAGAATGCTAGGATTTGCCAGCATTCCCCCTGAAGGGAATGGCCTCTCTTAGATGCTGGAGCCAGAGGACTGCAGGCACGTGCGCCCGGTCCACCAGTGGTCCGGTTAGAGTGCTGGTAAAGAGAAGTGGCGCGTGCGTGGCAGCGAGGCCCCAGCAGCCCAGTTTATCATGCCAGATCAGCTCGCTTTTCTCTTCTCTTTCTAGTTGCAGAGCTTTTGCTGCCTTGGGATTATCGTGCATACTCTGATTGGTGGGAATGACCTTCTTTTGCAGATGGTCAAAACATCATTTTATTACTTAGTAATCCCATTGTACTGGAGTAAAGCCAGCTGAAATCCATTGTTAAGCTGTTTCAAAAATACCCACAGGCCCATGTGTGCCAAGAATCCTGTGATGTTAAGATGTGCTCCCTTGGCTTCCTAAACTTCGACCTTCTATGGCTTTGCTCTGCACACTGGCAGCCATAGCTGTGGTGTATTTTGAGCCCTGAGCTGAAGAAGGAGTTTGTTTCTGCAAGTTGGCACCTTTGCCTTTCTAAGAGCAAACCAAAAATAGCCAAGTCTCTGTGTGCACTGGTCACTTCATTTTTCAGTTCCTTTTCTTTTCTTTGCTATAGTCACCCAAAGATCCAGCTTTGAGTGTCCCCAGATTTTAACCAAGCAAGGGGGAAGAAAGTAGAGCCGGCTGGGAAAGCACCCAAGCCATCCCAGCTCGGCTTGCAGGTTCAAGGGAAAGAGATGCCCAGATGCCCTGACCAGGGAGTTGCTAACCTGATCAGTTTCTACCTCAGCACACTCCTCTTTTTAGCAGCCAGAATTGCCCTCCGGAAATAGAAGGGGCCAGTCGGGTGCAGGTCCTCACGCTGCCAGCCTCAGCAGTGCCTTTACTTCAAACGGCTCGCAGAGGCTGTGCAGCTCTATCTAGTCTGGGTCGCTGGCGCGATATCTGCCCAGGAGCCCGACCGGTTGGGAGGAGGGAGGGCACGGGGCACCACAAGTGGAGACCTACAGCTTACCGAGTTTTTCAGACTGTAAGATGCACCTAGGTTTTAGAGAAGGAAACTAGGAAAAAAATGTTGAAGCAAAAAAATGTGGTAAAATATTTCATAACATAAATATCATAGACCCCACTCCCCACAGCGAGCCAGTTGAGCTACATTCAGACTATAAGATGCACCCCTTTTTCTCCCAAATTTGGGGGGAAGTTGTCTTATAGTCCGAAAAATATGGTGCATTTCTAAGAACTTGCTTTTCGTGGGTCTGTCTGTCCTCGGAGCCAAGCTCCCACACATTGTGACGGGTAAAATTAAGCTTAATATTATATGTAATAGTTCATTAGTATTACTGATTATCTGACTTCTGCTAAGCATTGGCACTCAGATTGCAGTCTGTAGCAGCTAAACCGACGAGCTCTGTAAGTTCTCTTCCCCGGGACAGTCGTGTGGAATGAGGC